GGACTACAGGCACCTGCCACCACACCCAGGTAATTTTTGTATTTTCAGTGGAGACGGGGCTTCACCACTTTGGCTAGGCTGGTCTCAAACTCCTGATCCTAGGTGATCCACCTGCCTTGGCCTCCCAAACTGCTGCAATTACAGGCGTCAACCACCTAAACTTTTAGAAAAGGTTGAAAGTATGCTGGGCACATCTTTTCACAGCAATACTTACAATGGATCTTACTCTTTTTAATGACTGCATAGAATTTTGTCGTGTAGCTGTTCTTTGGGAGATGATTGAAATATGCTTTAACCACCGGGCGCTGTGGCTCACGCCTGTAACCCCAGCACTTTGGGAGGCAAAGGTGGGGAGGATCGTGAAGCGGGAAGATCACTAGGAGTTCGAGACCAGCTGGCCAATATGGTGAAACCTGTCTCTACTAAAAAGACAAAAATTAGCCTAGCGTGGTGGCGGGCGCCTGTAGTCCCATCTCCTCTGGGGGCCGAGGCAGGAGAATAGCTTGAACCTGGGAGGCAGAGGTTGCAGTGAGCCGAGACTGCCCCATTGCACTCCAGCCCGGGTGGCAGACTGAAAGTCCGTCTCAAAAATAAAAATAAAATATTATCCTCCTTGAGATTTGTACTTTATGTAAAACAAAGCAAAACAAGCCGTGTTCTTGGGCCCGGGAGACACACCCTGACACATCTGGAGGAAGAGGGCCATGCTGTCTGCCACTCACCCTTGCAGGCTCTGAAATTACAATCATAGCCGTGTATTTACAGACTCAGAGAGAGAGAAATCTACAGTAAAAATGTTCAGAAGTAAAACTAGACAAATGGCAAAATTAAGAGAAATAATAAAACTACGTGTTTTAAATTTTAATCTCTCCTTTACTTCTCTCCCCTTTTCTTCCTATCTCTTCCCTCCTTTCTTCAACACACCCCTCCATCCTTCACTTCTTTTTTCACTCTCTGCCCTTGAACTCGGTGTATTCCAGCCTCGAAGCCAACACTCGTCAGCGCGTCCGCCTGGGCAGGTCAGGGAAGGGACGCGAGGCGGCGCTGTCTCCGCATTCTGTGAGCCGAGCGCCCTGGGCCCCGCGGGTCTTGTATCATTTCAGTGAAGGTCACTGCAGTCTTTGATGGAGGGTGTAATTAGGATCCTCACTGAAGTGGCGAGACCCTGAGGGGTTTTTTCCTGGCCCCTTTGTTGTGGGTTTTCCTGCGGGCGGGGGAGCCCGTTTCCATCAGAACAGCCCAGAGGCGGGCGCTGCCTTCCTGGGGTGACAGAGCAGCAGGAAGCGTTTTCGGATTGTAGAATCCGTGGGCGGCCGGTGGAAACGTCTGAGTCGCATTTCCCTACTGATCCGGATCCGAATCCACCGCGGTGCTGCTTCAAGCGAGTGAGATTCCAGATCGGCTCCACCCCGGACTCGGAATTCCTGCTTCGGAGTCTGCATTTTACAGCGACTGGTGTGAGTGCCCCAAAGCTAGAGACCAGAAGCCTAACGGCTCGGCCCTCCCCAGCAGAGAGCTCCGTTATTTCGTTTCTTTCTTTCTTTGCTTTTTTTTTTTTTTTTTTTTTTTTTTTTTTTTTTTTTTTTTTTTTTTTTTTTTTTTTTTTTTTTTTTTTAACAGAGTCTTGCTCTGTAGCCCACAATGGAATGCAGTGGCACGATCTCGTCCCACTGCAACCTCCGTCTCCCAGATTCAAGTGATACTCCTGCCTCAGCCTCCCGCCTAGCTGGCACTACAGGCTCCCGCCACAACTGCCGGCTAATTTGCGTCTTTTTAGTAAAGATGAGGGTTCACCATGTTGGCCAGGGTGGTTTCGAACCCCTGGCTTCATGATCCGCCCGCCTCGACCTCCCAAAGAATTGAAATTACAGGTGTGAGCCGCCACGCCGGGCCTATTCCCTTTCCATATTAGTAAACATTTGTCATTCTCCGTAGACTGGGGCAGGGCGAAAGGTGATCGCGGTTCTAGCAGTGAACTCTGGGCCGAAATATTTGAAACGACTGCGGGCGCCAGGCGCAGCCCCGCCCTGGGTTTTGTGAGCCACCACCCTGGGCCGTTTCTCTTTCTTTTCCGGACCTCTCTCTTTAACGGTTTCTCTTTCTCCGTTTCTCTTTCTTCAGCCGCCGTGGCGCCTAAAGTCGGCGAGAAGGAAGTCGCCTCTGTGTTCGTGAGTCCAGGGATCTAAGCCGGGTGCTAAGGGAGAAAACGTAGGTGATGGGGCAGAGCAGAAGGGTCTGGAGGTGGGGTGGAGGGATTAGAGGTGGAGAGAAGACCTGGGAGGCGTGGTGGGGGAGGAGATGCCAGGCCTGGCCGCTGAGAAACTTACCTGGAACTCAAGACCATCTCGGCCTCCCCTGGCCCTGGAGAGGACTGGCTTTATGATTCCCCGCAACCACTTCTGAATGCCTTGGAACAAACCTTGCATATTTATTATTGTTATTGAACTGTGAAGAGTCTTTTGGGGGGTGAGCTGAATGAGACCCTATGCTGGAGCTGGCACACGGAGGAAGTCCTGGAGGGAGGGTAGACACCGAGGAGGGAAGGGCTTGGGACCTGCATCAGGAAAACTGGGTCCATCTCCTTCTCTGCCTCTCACTAGGCTTATGATCTTTAGCAGTGAAAATAGTCTCCCTAAGGTGGAGACAGGACCCCAGTCCCAGCTTTACTCGATAAATTATGAGGATCAAAATAAATTACTAGTGAATGTGGATGGGAAAACTGAGAAATTGTTAAAATTCTTAAATACATTACATTTTCATCCACAGAAAAGTGTAGGCTAGGGATCATAGGGTAATAGTAATGACAGGTATAGTTCAACTTAAAAAGATGTTTGTGAGGCTGACAAAGAGGAAATGGACACAGTTCCTGATTCTGGAGGGTTCATAATCTAATAGGGGAGGGTAGAAGACGGCAGATGGCAGCTGGGTGTGCTGGCGCTCGCCTGTAGTCCCAGCTACTCGGAAGGCTGTGGTGGGAGGATTGCTTGAGCCCAGGCATTGGAGGCTGCAGTGAGCTATAGTCATGCCACTGCAATCCACCTGGGTGACAGAGCAAGGCTCTTGTCTTAAAAAGAAAAAAGAAAAGAAAGATTCCACACAGGGCACCATCTGTACCATGAGGAAGGTTGAAACCAGGGTCTAGATTAGGAGTTCCAAAGCTTGAACTTTGGAACACATTGGAATCACCTAGGGAACTTTAAAAGATACTAAGGTTTAGGTCCAACCAAGGTTTAGATCCAACCTAGGTTTACTGATTTAACTGGTTTGAACTGTGGCCTGGAAACATGGATATTAAAAACTCTCCATGTGGTTCTATACAGTGGCTCGGTTTGAAGACCACTGGCTAAATGTCCCAAAGACTAAGAGATGTGCGCTGGGGACAAGGCAATTCTCTTAGTGGAAAGAAGCTTTTCGGACAGCATTATTATTATTGATAATTGAGAATTCATATACCACATAATTTATCCTTTTACAATGTACAGCTCAGTGGCTTTTAGCATAATCACAGGGTTGTGCCACCACCACAACCATCTACTTGAAAAACTTTTCTTCCTATTTTTTTTAAGGCTAATCAAGTGAAATAGTGGGAGTGAGTAAGAAACAAAGACATCCATAACTGGTTGTGATCAATTCGTTGTAAACACCACTACAGTCAGACCAGCCTCACTGGGAAGATTTTGAGGATACAGTGTGCTCTGATGGGTTCTATGGCAGAGGTGACAGTGACCTGGAAGAGGGACGCGGCTTAGGCAGTGGCATCCTGGTGGGTTAGGGTGAGGAGATCCCAGAGCCCACTTTTACTGCAATCCTGGGGAGATGTTACCAGAGAAATGGGGGTGGTGCCATACAGCAGGTTTTGGCAGCTGTGGTTTCCATGGTAGAGTGGAAGCATCCTGTGTGACATTCAGTGGATGGGGTGCTGTGCGTGGCTTGGAGCACTCTGGTTACAACTGGGGCAGGCACAGTGTTTAGGAAGCCGGTGCAGTAATCTAGGTTGAAGGGAGGGAAAAGCCTAGACTAAGGTAGTTGCTGTGGGATTGAAATAGGGTTGGAGGAGCTGACTTTGACTCCTGGAGATGAAGGGGAAAGAGGAAATCAGAAGGGACCAAGGATGGTGATGCTCTTAAGAGAAACGGAGTGATGTGGTGGGAGACGTGTAGAGTGTCCTTGTGGATCTGTCACATTGGAGGGGACTATGGTCCTGGAGGTACAGATGTCCTAAGACAGGCTGGAAAAGGGAGTCTGGAGAGAGCTTGGTGTTGTAGTGAACCATGGGGAGTCGCATCCTTGGCCTGCGATCAGCCAGGGACTGAATAGAGAGGCTGCCCCGCGAGACCTCAGACACTTAGAGGATATTAGGGGGCGAAAGGGGACCTGGGTTCGAGTCGAAGGGAGGAGAAGGTGATTCTAAAGCTGAAACGTATAAGAGAGTTTGTCGTCTGAGCGGTTCTCAAGGGGCAGGTGCTTCTGAGAGGCAGAGGTGGCTGAGACCTGGAAACAAGTCTGCAAATCTGCTCACTGCTCTCATTGCCGGTAACGCTGTGCGCTGCTCAAGAAGTGTGTTGGAAGAATAACTAGGCGTTGTCTCTCCTGGAAGGAACAAGCCAGTGAGAGCCGGCCTGATGGGGCGACAGGCGAAAGGGGCTTGGTGAGGCTCGCTCTCCTTAGGGTGGGGGTGCGGGGATGGGTGATGGCGATGCAGGGAGGGCGGCAGGGCCCTGGCCGTGCTCATCAGGTTGGAGCTGTACCCTCAGCTACTCGTAGCTGGTCCCCGCTTTTAGCTGCGCTCCCGCGCGCTCCCACTTTTCAGGACCCCAGGTCTCGCCGGCTCAGCAGGTCTCAAGCCCCGGGAAATTTTTCTTATGAACACGGCCCCGCCCTTCCCTCTCGTGAGTGGCCCTAAGTCCGGGCCTCAGTTTCATTGGATAAGAGGTCGCTGGGGGGCGGGGCAGGTGGCTAAATTTCCGCGGGGCCCTCTCCCGCCCCCGGTTTTGCCGGCCACGGCTTGAGCCTCTGAGAGGGTGGCGACGTCGGGCCATGGGGCTGGGTCGGGTCCTGCTGTTTCTGGCCCGCGCCTTCCCTTTGACACTCCTGGGAGCCGCCGCTGGTGAGTGGGGTTCCTGGCGGGCCTGGGCGGAGCGGGAGTGGCGGGACGTTTCCTGGGGTCCCGGTGGGTCGCGGTGAGCGCTGTGCGGTCTGGGCGGGGCTCAGGTGCGGGGTCGGGGGTGCGGGGAGCTGGACGCGGCCCGTGGCCGCCACACCTCAGCCCTGCTTTCCCGTCTCTTTTCTGTCCTCCTTAGGACCGCGCGTCACCCGCCCCTGCATTTTCCTGTCCTGCACTTGCTCTCCTAGCCTCGCCTCCGCCTCTTCTCATTTTTCCGACAAACCATCCCTTCTGAGACCCCTGGGGTCCCGGGCTGCGCCCCCCACCCCGGGCTGCTCCTATGAATGGTATTTGAGAGCCCTCCCTGCTCGGCCACTGAGGCAGCCATATCTCCCGGTGCTGGGGGCGGCTCCCAGGTCCCTGAAGCCCTGTCCTCTCCCCGGAGCAGGTTCTCAGCTCCCGGGCCGCAGCTCCTGTATTTGACGCCCTCCTTTCTCGGGACCTGGAGCTGGTGGTGCTTTCTGCTGCTGTGGGGACTGTGGGGGTGGCTAGGGGGAAACGGGGTTGGAGGCTGCAGGCTGCGGGCAGAGGATTCTTCCCGCGACTTCTCTCATTCCCAGCTCATTCTCCCCGGCCTCCTACTCCCGGGGCGGTGGGCGGGGACGAGATTGAGGGGGTCCTCTCCACTCTGGCATCCCACCCCTACTAATGACCAGTGATCTAAGGACACCAGATTCCCTGCCCCTCCTCCCCTGCCCATCTCAGGGCCCCCTGGGTCCTGTTGCCCTCCCAGCTCCCTGCTACCCCTTCCTGTCTGCAGTTCTCTGATCCATTTCTAGGGTGTCCTCTGCCCTCATCCCCTGGCCCCACCACAGCAGGTTTCTCCTGCCTCCCCTATGGGGCTTTCCTACAAGCAGCCTTCACCCAGTGCTGCCCCTATGCCTCCCACTCCCAACTGTCACTGACCCTCACTTTCTCTTGCTGCCTTTTGTTGCGGGGGGAGGGTGCGGGGTGGGGGGGCCTTCTCTCCATCCCATTCCCCTCCAGACCACCCAAGGGGAGCCTTGGTGCCAATGACAGTTGGGTCTTAGGCAGGACACAGGGCAGCGCAGATGCCCCCTCCCCTCCAGTGCAGGTGCCTGCTCTGGTCCCTGCGTCATGTGTCCTCTCCTTTATCCTCAGCCTCACCCTCTGGAGGGCCTCACCCTCCAGCCCACAGGTGCTGGACCATCCCTTCCTGGTCCCTCTGACCCTCTCCACCTGGGGACCTTGTGTTGCTCCTACCTCTTGCTCACCTGCCTTGGGCCCTCAGCCAGTTCTCATCTTTCCCAAACTCCACCCCCCACAGAGCACCCTCCCCTCCTGTCCTCACCCTAACCCAAGTTCCTCCACAGTCACTCCTGCTCCACGCTCACGCTGCCTATCTGCCCACCCCCCACCCAGCCCAGACCTAAAACAGGCTGTTGGTCCCACTGTTCCTTGACCTTCATTCTTTTCTTTCGGTTCCTTGACCCCAGTGGGCTCTCACTCCCTACACCACATACCTAAAATCTTTGTTTTGCTCTTGGGGTGACTGTTCCCCCTCCAGCACTACTTTTGGCAGACCCTTCCTCAGGCTGGGGTCTCCTCGTTTACCTTGGTTTTCTGTCTCTGGCCAGCACACCCTACCATTGCTTTTTTTTTAATTTTTAACTTTTGTTTCGGTATGTAGTACACATATATGTATATATTTATGGAGTACGTGAAATAGTTTAACACAGGCATACAATATGTAATAATCACATTAGGGTAAATGGGGTATCTAACACAACAAGCTTCTTTGTGCTACAAACAATCCCATTGTGCTCTTTCGGTTATTTTTACATGTACAGTAAATTATTGCTGACTTACCCTGCTGTGCTATCTACAAGATCTTATTCATTCTAACTATATTTTTGTAACCATTAACCATCCCACCCGCACTCCCCACTACCCTTCTCAGCGTCTGGTAGTCATCATTCCATTCTCTCTCCCCATGAGTTCAGTTGTTTTCACTTTTGGCTGCTGCAAATAAGAAAGAACAAGCAAAGTTTGTCTGTCTGTTCCTGGCTTATTTGACTTAACATAATGACCACCAGTTCTTTGCAAATGGCAGGACGGCTGAATAGTACTCCACATACACATGTGAGCCACAGTTTCTTTATCCATTCGTGTGTTGATGGACACTTAGGTTGCTTGCAGAGCTTAGCTATTTTGAATAGTGCCTCAATAAACATGGAAAAGTAGATGGCTCTTTAATATGCCAATTTCCTTTCTTTGAGGTATATGCCTAACAGTGGGAGTGCTGCAGCATATGACAGTTCTGTAGGTTTTTAGTTTTGGGGAATCTCCACATTGTTTCCCATAGTGGTGTACTAGTTTACATTCCCACCGACAGTGTACAAGGGTTCTCTTTTGCTACATCCTTGCCGCATTCCTCATTGCCTGTCTTCTGGGTAACAGCCATTTTATCTGGGGCGGGATGACATCTCATGGCAGTTTTGATGCATTTATTTGATGACCAGTGATGCTGAGCACCTGTTCATATACCTGTTTGCCATTTGTAAGTCTTTCTTTTGAGAAATTACTATTCTGATCTTTTGCTCATTTTTAAATTGGATTCTTAGATTATTTTTTCCTATAGAGTTGTTTGAGCTCCTTATATATTTCAGTTACTAATCCTTTGTAAGATGAATAGTTTGAAAATATTTTCTCCCATTCTTGGATGGTCTTTTCACTTTGTTTATTGTTTTCTTCGCTGTGCAGGAGGGTTTTTTTGTTTCTTTTTTTCTTTTTTCTTTTTTTGGGAGACAGTCTTTCTCTGTGGCCCAGGCTGGAGTGCAGTGGTGCAATGTCAGCTCACTGCAACCTCCACCTCCTAAGTTCAAGCAATTCTCCTGCCTCAGGCTCCTAAGTAGCTGGGACTACAGTGGCACACCACCATGCCTGGCTAATTTTTGTATTTTTAGTAAGTATGAAACCGTGTTGCCCACCTGGTCTTGAATTCCTGAACTCAGCAATCCACCCACCTCAGCCTCCCAAAGTGCTAGGATTACAGGCATGCGCCACCGCACCCAGCCTGTTTCCTTTGCTGTGCAGCAATATATGATTGTGGTTTTGATTTGCATTTTACTAATGACTACTGATATTGAGCATCTTTTCATGTGTTTATTGATCATTTGCATATTTTCTTGGAAGAACTGGCCATTCAAGGCTTTTGCCCATTTTTTCCCGACATAGCTTCTCATGGCTACTTTGCCCATTTTTGAGTGGGTTGACTGTTTTGTTGTTTTTGTCAGACTTTTTTACGTATTCTGGAAACTAATCTCTTATCAGATATGTGATTTGCATATTTATTTCATTTCAGGCATTGATTGCTTTTTCGCTCTAATTGTGCCCTTTGATGCACAGATGTTTTAATTTTCATGAGTCCAGTTTGTCAGTTCTTTCTATTCTGTCTGTGCTTTGGTGTCACATCCACGAAAGCTCTGTCAAATCCTGTGTCATGAAGATTATCCCCAATGTTTTCTTCTAAGAAATTTTTAAGTTTTAGTTCTTGAGTTTAGAGTTTAGGTCTTTTGTTCGTTTTGAGTTAATTTTTGTATAGAGTACAAATTAAAGGTGCCATTTTATTTTATTTCAACATCCAGTTCCCCCAGCACTATTTAATGAAATATGGACTGACTCTTTTGAGAACCTGACACCTGGCCACCCTGGTGGACACTAGCGGGTGCATGCACTTGCTGTCCTGGGGCCTTGTCATGCTGTCATGCCACTCTTCCACTGGGACCCAAGCCCACGCCATTGCTTCCCTCTGGGATTCTGACCCCACTATAAACTTCTCTGGGGCTACAACCTTCCTGCCCCTTGCGCCTCATAACCGCCCCATCCCTTGCCCTCACCATGCCCATGATGAGTCTTTTCTCGAAGCAGCTCCCCTTGCCTCCATCTCACTGTCACCTGTGCACCACAGCCACACTGGACATGGGTCCCTCTTAGCCTGAGTTTCTTCCCATTCCCCGCCTCCCCTCTGGCAAGACCTTCCTTCCACCACTGCCTTCATGTTTCTCCATTATCCCTGTAGAAGAGCCTCTCCCCATGGCCCCTATACCCTTAGGGGGCCTTTGGCCACCCAGCCCTGGCACCTGGCCTAAAAGTTTGCCATCTCCATTCCCCCTTCTTCCATTCCTCAGTCCCCTCCTCTGTCCTCCCAGCTTCCCAGTTTTCCTTGTATATGAAATGCTCATTCTTGTCCCATTGCCCGTGTACATTTCCTGTCTCCTCAGGAAGGTCAGGACAGCAGACCTGTGTGTTAAGCATCACGTGAAGTTACTTCCAGGAAGAAGTCTCATCTGTCATTTTCTCTTCCCCAGAGCCTCACAGTCTTCGTTATAACCTCACAGTGCTGTCCCGGGATGGATCTGTGCAATCAGGGTTTCTTGTTGTGGGACATCTGGATGGTCAACTCTTCCTGCTCTGTGACAGGCAGAAATGCCCAGCAGGGCCCCAGGGACAGTGGGAAGAAGCAGTCCGGAGAGCTGAGCCCTGGCACACAGAGATCGAGGACTTGATAGAGAACGAGAAGAACCTCAAGATGACCCTGGCTCATATTAAGGGGAAGAATGGAGGTGAGAGTGGGCAGGGGCAAGAGTGACAGGAGAGGCCTTTTCCGGAAAAGTTAGGGCAGAGAGCAGCGACCTGTCTCTTCCCACTGGATCTGGCTGGGGCTGGGGGTGAGGAATGGGGGTCAGTGGAGCTCACCAAGGAGGTGAACCAGCACTCAGCCAGCACAGGGAGGCTGGGCGGAGGAGGGCAAGGGAAGGGTCCCCGCTGGGCTGAGTTCCTCACTTGGGTGGGAAGGTGAGGGGTTCAGGAATGGAGAAGTCACTGCTGGGTGGGGGCAGCCTTGCATTCCCTCCAGGAGATTAGACTCTGTGAGATCCATGAAGATGGTAGCACCAAGGGCGTCCGGCGTTTCTACTATGATGGGGAGCTCTTCCTCTCCCAAAACCTGGACACTCAGGAATGGACAGTGCATGAGTCCTCCGGAGCTCAGATCTTGCCTATAAACATCACGAATGTCTTGAAGGAAAATGTAAAGAAAGCTGGCGCTGTGCGGGCAGACTGCCGGCAGAAACTGCAGGGATATCTGGAATCCCTGGTGTGTGTCCGGAGAACAGGTACCGACCCTGGGCAGGGGCTCTCCTCTCCCCACGGTTCTGCTAGAGTTGCCTCACCCCCCAGCTCTGACCAGGGAAACCTGCCCAGTGCTTTGGATGCAGGCGTTTCCTGTTGACATATTGTGTCCTGATTTTCCTCTCCTGTCAGAGCCAGTGGATAAAGACAGTGGGTCTGAGACTGAACCATCCAGTGTTGGAATCTGGGAAAGCAGGGGGTCCTCCGACAGAATCCTGAGCATGGGATGGGTGGCAGGCAGGAGAGGAAGCCTTCAGGGCCAGGGCTGCCCCATCTGCCTCCCACCCTGCCCATCCCAAAGAGTTTCCTCCACCCTGGCCCCAGACCCAGGAGTCCACCCCTAACATCCCCCTCCTCAGCATCACTGTGGGGATCCCAGAGCTTCAGGCCACAGTCCCGAGGCCCATCCTCCTGCCAGCGTAGAGGAATTGGGTCCCTGGGTGAGGACAGACTTACAGAAGGTCCGGGGTCTGTGAGTGCTTCAGCCAGAGTGGGAACAGTGGAGAGGACCAGCCCTGTTCCCTGCATCTCCCTTAGAGGGGAGCAGGGCTTCACTGACTCTGCATTTTCTTCTCCAGTGCCCCCCATGGTGAATGTCACCCGCAGTGAGGATTCAGAGGGCAACATCAAGGTGACATGCTGGGCTTCCGGCTTCTATCCCCCAAATATCACACTGACCTGGCGTCAGCATGGGGTATCTTTGAGCCACAACGACCAGCAGTCAGAGGGTGTCCTGCCTGATGGGTATGGAACATACCAGACCAGGGTGAACATCAGGATTCGCCAAGGAGAGGAGCAGAGGTTCACCTGCTACATGGAACACAGTGGGAATCACAGCACTCACCCTGTGCCCCCTGGTGAGCCTGGGGTGACCCTGGAGAGGGTCAGCTGTGGGTCTCTGCCTGATGTATAACAAGTGCCTTTTTTCAGGGAGGGTGCTGGTGCTTGAGAGTCAATGGACAGCCAGTCCACATGTTCCTGCTGCTGCTGCTCCTGCTCCTGCTCCTGCTATTATTGCTGGTATTATTGCTGGTATTATTGCTGTTGCCATTATTGTTTTTATTATTGTTTGCTGCATCCATCATTGCAAGAAGAAGAGAACATCACCTGCAGAGGGTCCAGGTGAGAAAAGAGGGCAGTGGCTGGAGATGGGAGGGCTCCTGTCTGGGCACTAGGGTCCCCTCATTGCTCCTGCACAGATAGGCATGTAGGTGACCAGGCTTCTGGAACAGGTGTTGGAAGTTGGGGTATTTGGGAGGAGAACGGGAGCCATATCTCCATCTACACCCCTAAATACCTCTCAAGTTAGGGCCAGGGAAGGCCCTCGAATGTTTAGCTGTGGCCTCTTCCTGCTGCAGGTGAGGGTTGGGCAGCAGGGATGGCATCTGCTCTGTCCTCATCCCGGTATCTCTGTCTCTCGGGCTCACTAGGGCTCGTCCAGGTGGGGTGAGTTGGGAATCACATGCAGAGTGCAGAGGGCCTAGATGATCACAGCCTCAGAGGGAGCAAATAGTAAAGGCAGCTGTCATCTGGGGAGGGCTAGAAACTGGAGAGGAATCCGAGGGGAGGTGGTGCCCCTAGTCCCTTCCTCTCTGCATCCCTCTCCCCTGTTTCTCCAGCCATTTGGTGGGGGAGACACCAAGGAAAAGATATATGAGGCCCGGACTGGGGGCCCTGCCTGTGCAGACCCTTGGAGGCCCTCTTGTAACAAGGAGGGTCCTGGTCGCACGCGGCCATCTCTGTCCACTTTGCAGCTCCCCGTGCGCCTTCTCCAGGAGCTGCCTCCGGAGTGTCATGTCCTCTGTGTCACTCGAGGCCATGCTCTTTCCAGGTTCCCACCACCTGGCCTCCCTGAGTTTCCATGCAGATGATATACATGAGTAGATAAGCAGATGTCCCCGGGCCATTGGAGGAGCGGGGCCCAGCCCCTCATCAGGGCAGCTGCGGTCCCTGTTCTCAAACTACCTCCAAGTGTTTTCTTCTGGTGTTTCTGGGGCTTTGTTCTGTGCTCTGTGGCCTGACCTTGCCCGCCCGGAGGCCATTTCCCTTTCTCAAGGTGGTCACTGCCTGGTAAGTTTGGAGTAAGGGACAGTCAGAATCATTTCCCCCACAGTCAGGTTGTTTGACGGGAGATGAAAAGAGAAAGCAGGAAGTTTTGTGTTTCTGTAAAGACAAAGGCAGTGCAGGGGACAGTAAGGGGCTGGGGCGTCCAGGAGACCTGGGTCTTTCTGTCGTTTCCCCACTTCTGTGTACCTGGCCGTAGGGGTCGTGGTTTCTCATCGTTCAACTTAATTGCACTCTCTGTTTGCCCCCCAGGCCTGGGCAGATGGGAAGGTTTATCCCCTGCCCTGCAGCAAGAGGGCCCCATCCAGGAGACACCCGCAGCAGGGGCAGAGCAGGTGTGTGGTGGCTCCTGCTCTCACCTGCGGTGTCTCCTGTAGAGGGATTGTCAGTTCTGGTTTTCTGTGAGCATGATTGGTTTCCTCACAGGTCATTGGGGCTTTGGCCAGGAAAAGGGTATGAAAGCCATGTGCCAATGTCTCAAAATTCCTGCTTTCAATGTTGATGTCCCATAAAGATGTTCATAATTTCAGCTCTACAATCTTGACAGTATTTACTCTAATACTGATGTTGTAAAGCATATTAAATGAAACAGGAACTCAAATTTGGAGCTCGCTCTCCAGGAGGGTCTGTGTGGAAGATGGTGGCTGTGGCAGTGGCAGTTCCCAGGTGCAGAGGGTGGACAGAGGCAGCCTCAGGCTAAGGGGTTCCCTATTCCACATGGAGAAAATCCCTTGTGGGTTGCCAGGGCAGTGTCCTGGGTGGAATCCCTGCTAGGGACAGAGCAGGAAGGCCTCGCGGCCTCACCAAGCAGCAGCCCTGGGGTGGAGCTGCGTTTCCAGGGATAAGTGGACCAGGCAGGAGCAGCGGTGACTCAAGAGCAGGTCACAGGCCTGGGTGGGTGCTGAGGGTCAGGGGAGGCCAGGCCTCCTGAAGCAAGCTGGGGGTCCCAGGGTCAGGTGCAGATCCTATAGCAGCCACGTCGTTCCATGCTAGGCCTGCTGGGCACCCCCAGGCTTCTTGATGGGGTCCCCAGTTAAGAGGTGCCAGCTCTGGGCTGGGAGGGGAGGAATGCTGAGCTGCAGGTAGAGGGCAGAGCCCATGGTGGGCAGGGCCTGCCCTGGTGTGCAGGTGCCTCTGCAGGTGAGGAGGGCCTGGGGACTGAGGGCAAGGGTCAGGGCCTCTATTTGGGGAGGCCTCTCACTCTAACAGGACTGGTCAGGCCTGAGAGGAGCGGAGGGCACTGGGTTCCCTCTTGCATCTTGTCCTTTAGTCTTGGGGCTGGAAAAAACAGGTAGGAGGAAGAAAAAAGGAGGGCCTCCTCTTCCCTCATAGAAAGAGAGAATCTGATTTTGGAGCAACTGACGAGAGAAAAGTCCTCAGGGGATAAACACAACACTCTGCACCCAGTGGAGCATTCACTGGTTTCTCTCTTTTCTCCAGAGCTCATGAGCCTGCAGGTCCTGGATCAACACGTGGTTGGGACAGGAGACCACAGGGATGCCGCACAGCTGGGATTTCAGCCTCTGATGTCAGCTCCTGGGCCCACTGGCTCCACTCAGGGCACCGAGACTCTGCAGCCAGGCGGCTAGGACTCAGCTCCCTGTCTGGATCTCACCAGCACTTTCCATCTTGGTGCCTCAGTTCCCTGGCCTATGTAGCAGAGAACATAACACTATTTATTTCTTGTTGTCAGAGGCTGTGAAGTGTTAGTAGGCATGAGGTGTTTGCAGCTATGCCATATTAGTTGGCATCATCATTTCCATTGTTTATCTATTATTATAATTTTTTTTTTTTGAGACAAAGTCTCACTCTGTCACCCAGGTTGGAGTTCAGTGGCATGATCTCGGCTCACTGGAACCTCTGCCTCCCCAGCTCAAGCAATTCTTGTGCCTCAGCCTCCCGAGTAGCTGGGATTACAGACGCACACCACCACATCCGACTAATTCTAGTATTTTTCATAGAGACTGGGTTTCGCCATGTTAGCCAGGCTGGTCTCAAACTCCCCACCTCAGGTGATCTGCCTACCTGAGCCTCCCAAAGTGCTGGGATTACAAGCATGAGCCACCAGACCCAGCCTATTTTATTATATTTTAATACATTACATGTACAGTAATTAGAATGTCATAGGTGAGCTTTATGAGCGAGTGTCTTGGTGATGACTCCTCCTGACGAGCCTAGGACCAGCTTTCTTATCACCTTGAGGTCCCCTCGCCCCCCTGTCACAGCCTTATGCATTACTTCATGTCTACTACCTTTGTAAAATTTTATACTATAGATGTTTACTGTTTAAATAGACATTTCTGGTCTGTGTTTTATTTCATGCGTCTGGGAGTGGATAAAGCATGAGGTTCAGGGGAGAAGGAGAAGTCTGTCTCAACGCCTTGACACGGCGTGAAAACAATCTCCCCTCCTCATCCCCTTCCCCTGCTAGTTTCCGATGACCCACAGATTCACAGCAGAACAGAAAGCGCTGTGAAATGATGGAGGTGGGACATCTGGTGCCAACATTCAGGGGCTGACCCTGTGGGGGAACATCTGCCCTGAAGAGCTGGAGCCTTCATGTGATGACACAGAGCTGAAGTGTGACATCAGGGAGGGGATAGAGAGTGTTTCCAAGTTTTCTGACTTTGAAGAATTTGAGTCAGTCAGGTTCTGGCGTAAAGTGACTGCTGGGGAGGTGTGGACTGAATTAATGAAGAACAAATGAACCAGGAAAGTGGATGAGTAAGAGATGGGATATTCCCCACCCTGTCCCAGATCAAATACAGCCCTGAGATCTGCCCATCTTTCCCATCTGGGATTTCTGCATTGAACACCTCCCTTAGTCAACTTTCCTGCAAAGCAGAAAACCATGAAGTTGGACCACGTTGGAGGAAGAATGGTGTCATCTTCACCTCTGGAGAGATCTCTGTCACTGTGTTCAGGGAAAGGACCAGCCTCACTCCCCATGCAGAGAGGAGGCTCTGGCTGTGATCCGGCCTGTGGAGGGATGAGGACCCGCTCCCTCTACAATGATGGCCAAGAACCTGCAGGTGACAGGGCAGCTTCCGCTCAAGTGTGTCCTATCAGGTTCTTCTAGGCATCACAGAATAGACCAGGGACATTGCCTCCAGTGACATGACCACACCCAGAAGTGAGGTGGCCCTGCCAGGGGGTCCTGGGGCTGCCACGTCTTTTGGGATCTCAGTGTCTGGAGAGGGGTGTGGAGAGCAGGCTTTGTGCAAAACATAACCGTGTCCTCTAAATTATTTTATGCTCCATTAGCTTTTTTGTCATAAAATACAACAGGTACCAAAAAGAAAACCTGTCTGAAAATGTTGCCCTTTAATAAAAGGTAAACATGCTTTAACCACCAGAGAGTTTGTCAGCCAGCCCAGGAAACCCCCATCATCTGCCCCAGCTCAGTGATAAACTCTTTCCTCCCACACATAAAATCACAGCCTGACTTTTATGATCATCACTTCTCTGCTCTTTTTTACATTTTCATCATCTAAAATTGTAGTTTAGTTTTACCTTGGCGTATTTTTTAGCGTTCTTTTTTTTCCTATATGTTCCTCCTTGAAATTTATATTGTCTGGTTGAGTTTTTCATAGTTTGCATTTTGCCGGCTGCACCCCAAGGAGTAGTTTAATATGCACCTTTTTAATCTGTGCTTTCTATAAATTGCTAGTTGGTTGCAGAGATTTGCTTATACGCAGGCTTTATTTTTTTTCTTGAGTACTTAAGTTCGTTTATGGCACTGCATTGTATTCTTACATTAGAAGGAAGAACTTACCTATTTTTATTTTATTTGTTTTATTTATTTATTTATTTATTTTTACCGTACACTTAAATTTGGCCATTGCTGTTCAGTGGCCAAATCTGTTAATTCATTAAGGGTTACAAAAGAGTTATAGTGTCAGTCTCTCCTTCCTTCCTTATTTACTAGCTGAATAACTTCTAAAAGAAGAGATTTACCTTCTTCTACTATTTCTTCACTCAGTAGAAACTTGTTTTTTGAGAGAGGAAGCCAAGCATCCACTCAGCTATGACCCAGCAATATCACTCTTAGTTAAAACCAGTCGAAATGCATGTGTCTAGGCCGGGCGCGGTGGCTCAAGCCTGTAATCCCAGCACTTTGGGAGGCCGAGGCGGGTGAATCACAAGGTCAAGAGATCGAGACTATCCTGGCCAACGTGGTGAAACCCCATCTCTAAAAAAAAAAAAAAAAAAAAGAAATAAAGCCTGGCATGGTAGCTCACACCTATAATCCCAGCACTTCTGGAGGCCAAGGCGGTCAGATCACCTGAGGTCGGGAGTTGGAGACCAACCTTACCAACATGGAGAAACCCCTTGTCTACTAAAAATACAACAAATTAGCTGGGCATGGTGGCATATGCCTGTCATCCCAGCTACTCGGGAGACTGAGGTAGGAGAATCCTTTGAACCCAGGAGGCAGAGGTTGCAGTGAGCTGAGATCATGCTGTTGCACTCCAGCTTGGGCAACAAGAGCGAAACTCCCTCCCAAAAAAAATTAAAAAGGGAAGAAAGGAAGACCAAAAAATGAAAGGAAGGAAGAAAAACAGAAAAATTAATTGGTAATCACAGATATATGGAAATTAATACCATTATTATAAAATATTAATAATATAGACTTCAAAGGAAATAAATAATGTCAAACAATTTGTTATGTTGCACTTTGCTTATCCATCTTCCCACCTCCACCTAGGCTGTGCCATCCATGAGGTCCATGGAAGTTTCATTCTTTTTTCTCTGAGACTGCTACATAGAGAACGGGACCCAGAATAAGACAGGTGCTTGATGAATCTTTACCAAATGAATACATTTCCTGGAAATAATTAGCAGACCAGGAATTGTGATGCATATGCACAACTCAAAAGCAGCTGAGGGAACTGACATCAGAGAACGTGGTGGCATAGGGAGCCCCAAGGGCCACTACTCTACAGGACAGTGTGCTCGTCAAACATCAGCACACACACAGAAATATGAGAGCTTTTAAAGCACAGATTCCAGGACTGCATGTAGGGTTGTGGAGGCCCCACAGGGTTGTGGGGTGTCCCTTATGCTGTGGTGAGGTGCAGGATCCAAGAAGTAAAGAGACAGGACACTGAAGAACTGGTGAAGAGCATCTGGACTCGGGGGGCCACACCACCTGTGAGTGGAGATCAGTGGCAGCAGCCTCCAAATGCCCAAGAACATCTGTATTTATTAGATACAAGCAGGGGGCAGGGTCGTGAGTGAGGTCATCATCTATAGGCTTAGTAATAGGGCATACATAATCACATGAATTACAAGTGAGGGGGTCACCCCATTATGTCACCTGGGCAGAGAGGTGGGCCATGCACAGCAGGAGGCTGTACCATGCGCAGTAGTAGAGGGTCATGTGCAGAAAAGGGGTCCACCGCCATTAGGTCACCAAGGCAAGGAGGTAGGCTGTGTGCAACAGGTGTCGTGTACAGCACTTCTTTTTTTTTTCCTGGTGTTTCAAATATTTATTTTAGGTAGTAAAGGCTTTTATTGTTCTGAACCCTGATTACAAGTCACATGATCAAGAACAACTAATAAAGGAGATTCAGGAGCATGTTAAAAAAACTACAGCATCTTACAAATATCCCAGAAAGGTAGGTATCCTAATTACAATGAATATTTGCTCAGTGCTATGGAAAATTTCAACTGTTTGTTTTTACCTTTTAATGACTATTTTCTTCACTCATGTTACATACCACATGTCCCAAACTGAACTGATGACATATGGGTAAGAATCAGAATCTTTGAGATAAAAATGAAACCCTAAACCTATTTTGTTTGGTCCTTTGGACTTGCAGTAAATGCTTAATATCAAGACAAATTTCCTCAACAACACCCTTTTCCCTTCTTTGGTTGTTACCCAAAACCCATTCCAATGAGTATTCTAATTCTTTCTCCTAGAATTCATAATTGAGCTGCTATATAATTGGCTTTATGTAAAGACAAAAATTTCCAAGCTAATTTTCTTCCCCTTGATGCCAACAGGTAGAATTTATTCAAGAGCTGCCAAAGACTATCAGTGGGAAGACAAAAAGAAATGAACTGAGGAAGAAAGAATGGAAAACAATTTAAATGTGTTTCATTAACTACCATATCTATAAAACAAACATATTATCTGTCAATCTCTAGAAACCACAAGATGATGCAGAGGTGATAAAAACTGTAGTAGTATGCTCAGAAACTGTTGATTTAAAATATCTTGTGGTTATGATATCAGAGGCTAAATTTAGAAATAAAATGTTTGGTAAATTCCTCTGCATTACTGTCAATGTTCCCGTCATTTCTTAATATAAAAAGAATGTCAACAATTATTGATCAATTTTTAAATGTATAGTATAGAAGCAGTTTCTGAACCAAATCTCTGCTACATAGGTTTTCAAACTTTAGTTGACTAATTCTTCTGATATGCTGATATACAAATCAGAATCAATGTTCAAGCTGTGAAATAAAACTAAAGAACTTATAAAAGTTTTTAGAAAAATACAAAATACCAGTTAGAAGATTATTATAATTCTCAAAGTACATGTATCTAACTGAAAATAGACCAGGGATTTTTATTAGTCACATTTTTGTGCACATAATTTAAAAATAGTTTAAGACTTGCTTCAAGGTCTAACTTTAAAAGAAAGATCATATACTATTGTTGCTTATTATATGTAATCTAATAAATACTCTTAACAAAAGATGACATTTGTGGTTCCTGAAGAAAGTATGATGAATTCAGTAAACATTAATATATAAAATAGTGTAAGATGTTATCAGAATACTCATGTTTGGAAATTCAAAAAACAATTAGAATTCATACATGAAAGATTATCAATTCCTCATTGAAGGCCTGAGTCTCAAGGAATTTTTGGTGGAAATACTTAAATTTCGGTCACAAAGATGGCTTGTTTCTGGAGAATTAAAAGTGAGTCCCCCTGTGGAATGAAATGGAACTATGCTGTTGGCTCTTTCCTTTTGAAGTTCCCATTTGAAATAACCACAACATTTTCTGTTTTCTTGGTACTTCCCAATAGGGCAACAATAGAAGACTTTTCCATGGTTCGGTCCATTATTAGAAACAACAAGTCTCCTAGACCCTCGCCCACACTTGCATAAGGGAGGTGTCATTTTCCCACTCTTCCAAGGCTCTTGTAGGTTAACTATAGAAGGTAATACAGATGGGGAAAGCTTCCGGGAAGAACTTCTTACTGGAGAGCAATCAGATGACGTAGGCTTTTCTTCATGAATAGTGAACAGTTGTTTTTTTGCTGGTGGAAAAGCTTGAGGACTGTATGGATTCCTTTTGGTACCACCTGGAAGAAGAGGATGTTTCCCCAAAACTAAAGGATGAGACATATCGGCATTAACTCTGTTGCAGGTACTTGATTTGTGTTCAAGTAACTTAAAGGCAGAAACATATGAACCTGGATCTTTGGCTTCTTTTACATTATAAATGGTAGTGTGAGGACTCTTGTATACAATAGACTTAGAAGTCTCAGATTTTTGAAGAGTTTCCTGTATGTCTCCCAAGTTTTCATGACTTGGCATTTCTGATTCTTTCAGAACCATTAATCTTTCTCCAGAATTAAATGAGATCTCTAAGTCTGAATCACTAATGGGAAGTGTATAGTCTATGTTTTTCTCAGGCTGAGATGCTGGCAGTAAAACCACATCCTCCCAATCAGCCAAGATAGGTAAACAGCCAAGGGTAGAGCTCATTTCTGTATCAGAAACATGATTAACAGTTGGAATGGTGGTAGAAACAAGTACCAATTCTGATCCAACTGTTGAAGACTTAGATTTGGTATTAAATGCAAGATGATCATTTTTTCCTTGCTTTTGGATATAGATAGGTGAATTCAAGGTAGGAGACTGCAAATGCCCCAGAGAAGTAGAGGACTTAGACTTAATAATAGACAAGCAACTTTTGACTTTGTGAAGACCTGTTTTTATATTGTTCTTTACTTGTAATTGATCCTTCTGTGCCTTTATAGGAAAGTTTGCACAAATTGACTTCATTTGAAATTTTTCATGAGAATTTATTGTATTTTTAGGCTCCTTATTATATATGCTAGGACCCTGGATGCTGTTACAGGCTGACATTTCTTCAACTTGATTTGTATTCAAATTTCTGACCAGAATGCTGGAATTCTTCTGAGTGGGAACCTTGTTCAATGACCTTGTAATTTTCCTTAGACAGCCATCCCTGATCATTTTCCAAGCAAGAAGGGCAGTATTCCGAGAATCGTCCAACCCAGAACGTTCTCGTCCTGAGAATTCTATTCCCACTTCCTGCAAGGCACCACTTAGTCCTTTTGGTTTTCTCCTATAGAAAAGCTTGTAGGTTGCTCTGAGATCAATCCAAGAATTTAAAAACACAGGTTTTAATAGCTGCTTTCTTTTACACTCATACTCCAGGCAAACCCCCAAGTACCAGTCTGACCAAGTAACAAATGCCTGTAAGTTTACTTCAGAAGTAGAAGGCTCTGAAACCCCAGCAGCAAAAGTTAGGTTCTTCTGTTGCCGAATCTTATGAATCCATTTACAGAACTGAGATAAGCAAATCTTCAGAGGCACTCCGTCATCAACTTGAGCCTGCTTTATGCCTGTCAATTCCATGCAAAATGCTGAAAGAACTGGATGTTCCTGAGGTTGAACATAAGCATGGAACTCACATTCAATCTGTCCTGTTGATGTGTTCAGCAACACTGCAGGAAATTCAATTATTTCCTGGCTATGGTGGCGTTTCCCATCATTCCAGTATGTCGATTCAAAATCAATGAAAATTTAGTAGTCAAACAACTGCTTGGATTTGCTTCTTCCTAGATTCCCATTTGCTGATGCAATTGACTTTCTCCTAATTAATCCAAGCTGCCATGCGAGCCGCTTGCTCGCCATTCTCAACACCCCTTGCTCTTCTAAGTCCAACCCCAACACTTCTTATCTGGGGGCTGGCGACTTGAAAGGGTTTTTAATAGGACACTGTAAGCTTAACGCAGTGGGAGCTGACAGACTTGTGCTCTTCTCTTAAGATATTTATGGGAGGATTCTTTGCGCTAGCACAGCAGGGAGAAAAGACTGACAGGGTGTACAGCTGCTGTGACAACCAGAGGGGTTGTTCTCCCTTGGTTACTTTCAGGATCTCAGGCCTGAGGCCTACTTTCCACAGGAACTGGATGCAAGGTACTATAACTCCTTTATCAGGAGGAGAGACACTTGCTCCAAGCCTGCCATACAGCGTATGCCCTTCAAGGCAGGGATGCCACCGCCTGGATCTTTGGTTCTCGTCCTGGGCTGGCTGTTTTCCCATGTACTGCTTCTGTTTTGTGACTGCTCTAGGCATTCCTCCTACTACAAACTACTCTATGGTTATATAGAAGGATTATATAAATCAGCACTAAATGTGTCAGTACAGCTGCGACTACAATACCTATATGATTATATACAAAGATTATATAGAACTAAGTATGATAGATATGTGTAAGCAGTAAGTTATATTTTAAGCACTAATTCTATAAACTAATATATGGTTATATATGAAGGATTATATAAAGGAAACAGCTGAGCAATAACACTATAAACTAAGATATTCCTCAGACACTAGATGTTCCTGACATCTGGACAGTTCTTCTCGGTGCCCATTGGGGGTGTTACCCACACTGCACCAGCAGATGTTCTCATTGGGTTGACCAACAATTAAGTGGCAACAAGTTGAAAAATATATTCCAAAATCTTTTGCATGGTAAGCTCCTGAGTTTCGTCCCTCTGTCTTTTCTCCTCAAAACAGATCCTTGCTCCTCTGCAAGTAAAAAGCCTCCTTTTAGAAGACAGTCCCAGATCAGCCAGGTCCAAACCCCAAAATGACTTCCTGTCTTGGATCCAAATGCTCAGATGCAACTCTGGGGCTAATTTTCAGCGGGAGTTTGGAGATTACTTAATTAAGATGATTAGTAAGAGGACCAATAGTTGACATTAATGTTAGGGAAGTCAAGTTTGCATTTCTAAAAAGAATCCACAATTCTGGAAAGAACTGCTTACCAGTGAGTGTAGAGTTTTTTCTCTGTAGGGTAAAGTTCTCAGCAGAGGAACTAACTATAGCTCTAGGTTCCACCATACATGTCACATGCAGCTGACTGACCCCCTCAACTTCCTCCCCAGCTAAAGGAAAAAGCTGGACTCTAATCTTGGCCCATCCTTCAGCTGCATTCCACTGGGTGTGGACTCTCTACAGGTGGGAACGTTCCTGGGTCTCAGTTGCTCCTTCTGCTGTTGTGGAGTCTCCATTGATGTGGTTTATGCCCAGATGGACCTGCAGGAGGATGAGTGTCCCCTCAGTCTCAAGGCCAACATTTTCAGCAATCCCAGACCAACTCTTCAGGCTCTCAGTGACTCAGCTTGTCATCTGCAGGAGGGAAGAATCCATCTCCCTCTCTCAGGTATGGTGGGAATTATATATATTTAAATAGTAATCTATAAGTTGATGGCGTTCTTAGTGTTGCATTGATTGCCCAGCTGAACTCCATAACGAAAGGGTGGATCATGGAGTGTGGAGGAATAATTCATTTTTTCTCTCTGAAGGACTCATCAATAGGCATTTCTGCCCTGTGTAATGCAAATGAGAAATTTGCTTTAGGAAGGTGTAGGAAGGAGATCTGGACTTGCTTTTATTGTGATTATTACTTTACAGATGGGCCTTGCTATATTGCCCAGGCTGGAGAGCAGTCGCTATTCACAACCACGATCATAACATACTGCAGCTTCAACCTCCTGGCGGAAACCATCTTCCCACCTCAGCCTCCCAAATAGCTGGGACTACAGCCATGCACCACTGCCCCTGGCCACTTATTGTTATTTTGCTTCAAGTATTTTATTTTGAAAGTTTAAAATATATGATTTTTAGAGTATAAGACTCAGAATCTATTTGGTCGCAGAAGACCTGAAAATGTTCAGAAGAAAGATACAAATACCACTTAAATCTCCACTTAGAAAATCCCAACAACCATGTTACTGAACTTTCTTAGACTGCAGTGTGAGTGGTGGTCCCTGGAGCTGTCCTATACAACGGTGCTGATTTTCATTCTGTTGTTTTCTATGTACATATACATGTTGACAAAAACAGTCAAACTCTGGAAGATATTTATAGATATTTATTCTGAGCCAAATATGAGTGACCATGGCCCATGACACAGCCCTCAGGAGGTCCTGAGAATATGTGCCCAAGGGGGTTGCTGTGCAGTTTGGTTTTATACATTTTAGGGAGGCATGAGACATCACTCAAATACATTTAAGGAATACATTGGTTTGTTCCAGAAAGATGAGACCACTTAAAGCAGGTGGGGAGTGGGCTTCCAGATTATAGGTAAATTTGAACACTTTGTGGTAGACAATCGAGTTTTTGCTAAGGACCTTGGATCAATAGAAAGAAAATGTTCAGCTGGGTGTGGTGGCTCATGTCTGTAATCCCAGCACTTTGGGAGGCTGAGGTGGGAGGATTACTTGAGGTCGGGAGTTTGAAAACAGCCTGGCCAACATGGTGAAACTGCATCTCTACAAACATACAAAAATTAGCTGGGCATGGTGGTGCATCCCTGTAATCCCAGGAAGGCTGAGGCAGGAGAATCGCTTGAACCCTGGAGGTAGAGGTTGCAGTGATCCAAGATGGCACCACTGCACTCCAGCCTGGGTGGCAGAGCAAGACTCCATCTCAAATTTAAGAAAAAAAAAAGAAAGGAAATGTTCAAGTTATATAAAAGATTGTAGAGACCAAGGTTCTTTTGAAGTCTCACAGCTGCTGCTCTTAGAGACAATGAATGACAAATGTTTCCAATTCAGACATTTTAAAAGGTGCTAGACACTCAATCTATTCAGAATTGGAGGGGCCTGGAAGGAAATAATCTAACTATGTGTTGTTTGTTTGTTTGTTGCTTTTTGTTTTTTTGAGATGGAGTCTCACCCAGGCTGGAGTACAATGGCACGATATCGGCTCACTGCAACCTCTGCCTCAAGGGTTCAAGTAACTCTCCTGCCTCAGTCTCCCAAGTAGCTGGGATTACAGACACCTGCAATCATGCCCAGCTAATTTTTGTATTTTTGCAGAGATGGGGTTTCACCATGTTGCTCAGGCTGGTCTTGAACTCCTGACCTCAGGTGATCCACCTGCCTCTGCCTCCCAAAGTACTGGGATTACAGTCACCATGCCCAGCCGGTCTAGCTATGCTAATAGGGATTCTTTGCAGATGTGAATTTTCTCCCACAAAGGACAGCTTGCAGGGCCATTTCAAAATGTGACAAAGAAACATGTTTTGAGGGTAAAAAAATTTTATTTTCTTCCTTGTCTCACAATGTTATGCCAGGGGCAGTTTAGAAACTAAGTCACAATATATAGGGTTAAATAAAACCCATCTGATGAGGTTGTATGGTTTGTAGGGCATGACTCCCCAGACCCCTTAGATAGGAATTTGGGCAAGATTAAAAAATCAGAGTTTCGTCCTCATATTTTTTTTGGGGGGGGGGACGGTGTTTTGCTCTCATTACCCAGGCTGGAGTGCAATGGCGCAATCTCGGCTCACCGCAACCTCCGCCTCCTGGGTTCAAGCAATTCTCCTGCCTCAGCTTCCTGAGTAGCTGGGATTACAGGCACGCGCCACCATGCCCAGCTAATGTTTTGTATTTTTAGTAGAGATGGGGTTTCACCATGTTGACCAGGATGGTCTCGATCTCTTGACCTCGTGATCCACCCGCCTTGGCCTCCCAAAGTGCTGGGATTACAGGCTTAAGCCACCGCGCCCGGCCTGTCCTCATATTTTTATATATGCTTTCAATTGACAAAGTTGCATTCATGTGTTATGGTTGTCTTGAATGATTCTTGTTGAGTATATTATTACACAAGTAGTTTTCATGTTACAAAGTCTGCATAAACTATATCTCACTTCAAACAAGGAGACATAACTCAACTTCTCTTGGATCCATTTGCTTTCATCGTGTCTTCTTGTAAACAATGTTTTGAGAGCATATTTGTACATAAAGGTTCTTCTATGTTTGGGATTTGAAAATATTCGTAGATTGCTCAAATGATAAATATTAGGCCAAAGACTGAACATGTTAAAGCCTTTTCATACACATTGCCAAACTCGTCTCTAAATTCTTGTGCCGACCTGTTCATGCATTTAATAGATAAGTACTATTGAACCCTAATTCTTTACAAATGATGACATTGGGGATATAGGGACAAGAGTCCTTGTTCAAAGAACATATATAATACTAACTGTGATGGTTAATTTTTGGTGTCAACTTGACTGTGTTAAGGGATATGTAGACAGCTGGCAAAACATTATTGATTGGTGCATCTGTGAGGGTGCTTCTGGAGGAGATTGATGTGTGAGTTGGTGGACTGAGTGGGGAAGATCCTCTCTCAACGTAGGAAGGCATCATCCAATCACCTGGGGTTGCAAATAGAACAAAAAAGCAGAGGATACTCTCATTGACTCACTCTGGAGCTGGGACACCCTTCTTCTCCTGCTCTTGGACATCAGAACTCCAGATTCTATGGTTTCGGACTCTGACACCTGCACCAACGGGGCCTTCTTACCCTCTAACTACGCTACTGCCTTCCCTGGTTCTTCAGATTCCTGATGGCTTATGATGGGACTTCACAGCCTCCATAATTGTGTAATTCAATTCCACTAATAAATCCTCTCTTCTCTCTGTGCTCTATCTACCTATCCAGTTGGTTGTCTCTCTCTGGGGAACGCTGATACACCAATGGACAGTAACCAGATAAAATCTAGTATTACTGATAATTGCCATGGAGAAAGATATGCCTAGGCCAGAAGATTGGTGGTGGTAGGGTAGCAGGGGATATAGTTTAGACAAGGTCATTGAACAAGATGTTTCTGAGAACTTGATCACTGGCTATCTGAGC